ACTTGATTAAATTATTCCAAAAAGATTTATAAAACTATTCTTTATTACAAAAATTTTACTGGTTTTAAAAAACCTTTTTCTTTCCATATTTTTTTCATAAATTTCTCCTTAATAAATGGCTAATACTTATGAAATTGAAAGAGCTGAATATAAAAATTTTTATCCTTTATCTAAACTACATTTGAATGAACCAAACAAAAAAACTGAATTTAATATTGATTTTGGAGATGGTTTTTGTACATCTAAATTTCAATTTTATATTTCAGGAACACTAAAAAAATCTGATGATAGAGACTATGGTGCTACAGATAATGTAAAGTTGATTAATAATTTTGTACCATTCTTATTTTCAAAAATTGAAATTAGAAAACATAATAAATTAATTGAGGAAATTGAATATCCTGGACAATTAAGTACAATAAAAGGTACTGTTACTTATTCAAAAACAGAAGCAGTATCCAACATTTGTAATGGATTTCAATCAGATTTCAAAAAAACATTTGAAGCTGTGGGTAATCTATCACATTTTGGATTAGGTTTCTTTGAAAATGTTAATGTTCCAATATACAAAGGAGGATTCAATATATGTTTTGTTAGATCTGAAGATAATGATGCCATTTTTAGATGGAAAACTAAAAAAGTTGATGGAACTTTTGATGATACTACATTACCAAGTGCTGGAAAAATAATTATTGATGACTTTTTTATTAGAGTTCCAATAATTGAGTATAAAACTACAAGTAAAATTCAATATATTAATGAAATAACTAAAAAAGAAAAAATACTATTTCACTTTAATCATTGGCAATGTATTGAACAAAAGACAATAACTGGAAAAACAGTTAGTTTTGATATAACAAATATTTATCGAAACATCTATAATCCAAAATTTATAATAATTGGTTTTCAAAAAGGTAGAACTAATGATCAATTATATGACACTTCAAAATTTGATAGTATGTATATTAAAAATATTAGAGTAAAATTAAATGGTCACTATTATCCTGATGAATTAATAAATCTAGATATAAATAATGAAAAATTTAGAATTGTATATCAAATGTATCAAGATTATAAAAAGGTTTATTATAACAATAGTGAAATGTATTATGATCCAACAGAATTCATTGAAAATAGACCATTATATGTGATTGATACAACAAAAACTCCTGTTAATATTTCTGGTTCAAAGAATGATATTATTATAAATATGGATTTTGATTATGATATAACTGTTGCTAGTAAAACTAATTGCTATGTGGTTGTTGTGTCTGAAAGATTATTAGAGTATAATGTGATTAAAAATGATATAACTGAAATCAAATAAAATTATTATAAAACCACCATTTATTTACTACTTTTTGACATATTTTTCAAAATATTATTATATTTTATGAATAATGAGACTACTATTGTTAATTTAAAATTTGTTTCATAAAAAAATATTAATAAATAAAAATTTTTGATTTTCAAGGTCACAAGAAATAAATATTTTAAATTTTATTATTTAATAAATTTGTACTTACCTTATAGATATATCATACCAAATTTCATGAAAATATCTTTAAAAACAAAGAAGTTATTAAGGTTTTTAGTTTAAGGGTAGTTCACCCTAAATTGGAAAATTTTAGTAAAAACATTGATTTTAAACATCATTTTTCATAATTTTTAAGTTTTAGAATTATTCAATAATTTTTTACATTTTATAAATAAAATACAAAATAAGGGATGAAACTACCCTTAACATAAGTCAAAAACATTCTTTAATATTCAATGAGTGTATGTTTCAAATTTGGTTAAGATTGGTTTAAAAACACTCAAGTTATAACATACAATATATTTCAAATAATTTCATTCGATACTAACAATCGAATAATAAGTTGAAACATTCGATATTAACAGTTAAATTACTGAATAGGAATTCAAAATAACTCACACAAACATAAACAAATAATATTTACTGAACATTTCAGATTTATCAAAGCGTGCATTCAATGCACGCTTTCGTTGAACATCATTTGGTTTGGCAAAAAAAACTGTCAAATAAAACAGCACAGTCACTTAAATTTTTCTACACAAAATATTTACTGTAGAATTCAGATTTATCAAAGCGTGCTTTAGAAGCACACTGTCCTTGAATGTCATATGGTTTGGCAAAAAACTATCAAACAAAGCAGCAGTCACTTGACCTTGAAAATTCTGATTGTTTTATAAACAAGTTATGATTGCAAACAATAAAAATAGTCTATAAATAGTTCAATAAATCACTTTTACTTATTAAAATATTAGTTAAAAACACTTGAACAATCCAAATATGGTGATGAACACTTCAAACACATTTCACTTCACAACACGATAGTTTCACAATTTTCATAGTTAATCTTCTTTATACTTCATCTTCAATCAATAAATAATAAACTTTTACCATCAATAAACTCTTATTTTAAATATTTCTTCATAAAACAAAATGAGAATATACATAGAAAATCAGCCAGTCGACAGAGCCACACCCATTATGATAGCTAATGACGAGATTTTTGCTAACTTGACACTTTTTTTTTGTTCAATCGGCTAGTTTCATTAGCTAACTATTTAACCATTGATTATACATTTTAAGCATTAATTATAAAAAACTTTTCAATTAGTTTAGATAAATCAAAATAATTATTATAATCCACACTGCAATTTACTAACATTCAACTGGTTATTATTTTATTCAATCACTTATTTTCATAAAAAGATCGACCAAACAAATTAGGCCATAGACTAATATTCCTTCAATAAGATTATATTTACAACACAATTTATTTTTGTTGATTTTTACATTATCTTTAATCATACAGAAATGTATAATATATGAAATAGCACTAATTTTTAACAAGCTTTTCATTGGTGACATTTATTTTCAATTTAAATCAATACTTATCTTCTTATCTTAAGATTATCATTTTTGATAACATTTCATGTTTAAGTTTAAAATTATTTAAAATGAAATATGGACTTGTAATACATCAAATATCATTAGAATTTTCTGAGAAATTCAAAACTTTTAATAAATTTTGAATAACTCAAATAGAAAAAATATTATTTACAAAAACAATAATTTAAATAAAATATTTAGAATATTTGAATAAAAAATTTTAAAATTTTACTTGTTTTTAAAAACATTTCAGTTTGTAGTCAATTTTATGTAAAATATAGACATATTCATGAAAATTTCATCAAAATTATATACTTTTTCTAGAAAAATATGAATATGTTAGAAATTGACCTAAAAGGGTAAAAAATATAGCATATTGTATAAAAAAATAGGAAAATTCATTTAATTTTTGAGTGGCTCCTTTTTTGGCCCAGAAGTGACATGAATATATCTACTACTGTATATGAACCAATCGAACCACCATAGAGCTGGTAGTTCGAATCCCATTCATCAAAGAAAAAGAGAAAATTATTTAAGTTATAAGAAATGTCTTTATATTTGAGAACACCATCCGCTAATTGATTTAGACAAATTCACTATGTATTTTTACTGTCATGTAAAAGGTATTAAGTTATAAACTATTAAATGGAACAAAATTTACTTCCTAAATCATATTACTATTCATCACAAAATCAGAGAAAAATATTTCGCATTTATTTTACCAAATTTCCTATGCGAATCCTCATCAACAGAATATCGTTATGGGGGGGATTTTCAATATAACCACAATGATATTCGCCACTTTCTAAATATTAGGAACTGTTCGATCTGTCGGAAATAAAACAAAGCGAGGGAGACAAGACAATGCCCACTTGTGACAGTTCTGTTTGTCGTCCGTGTTTGCTCTTCGTCCCCTCGCGACCCTGCGCAAACACCTCGCTGTTCTGTTCTTTTCCGCGTCTCCAAACTCAGGCGTCAGTGGAGAGAATGAAAAATATACTTAACAAACTTAATTAAAATCTATGTATTTATTGAGTTAGTCAAACGTAATATGTTGCTGGATAGGCTTCCAAGGTCACTTGTAGAATCGTGGTGTTTGGTGACGACTGTGTCAAAATCGACAAATTGCTCGTCGAAGTTTCGGCCCCGATATAGAGGGCCATCCTCAGGGCAACTCTTGATTCCGCACAAACTACATCGAGACCGAAACGTCAGAGAAGCGATTCGTGTCATGATTGACAGGGCCATGGATTTACTTACTTCACTTGAAAGCGATGAACTTTGTGTACAAATGTTTTTTATGGCGTATTTTGTGAGGTCCTTGTTTGTAGGTGCCAATAATGGTGGTACGTTTGTTGTTATTAGGTCAATAATGTTGATATATATATAGTTTTTCACGTAAATGATTATTTTTTTATTTGTATCCTAAGATGAAGATATTGTTGGGGCTTAAAAATGGGGTACACTTTACAGAAAATTAATTTTTTTTTTGATACGACGGAATACTGGAGGGATTTTAGCGAAGCTAGTTACTTTCAGCTCTACGGTAAACAAGGTGGCAGTCTGAAATTTGTGCGTAGAACAACTCAGTCAGAATTTCATATGTGTGAATTTGCAGAACTGAGTTTATACCGATCAAAAATTGTAGTAGTGATCTTTATTCTCACGGATAATCAAAAGCCATGAGCATAATCCTTTTTTTTCTAACAGCAAACACTACCAGACGTTTCACTCTGAAGTGGCACCATCGTCAATGATAAGCCTAGAGACTACCCTAGCCTCTGTACCACTTCAGAGCACCACTTGAGCGTCAGATGAAAGTCTCTACCAGACGTTTCGCCCTTGCACAAGTGGCATAATCCTCAGGGGTGGGGCTACACCCAAAAGGTGTGGTAGTATTTTGAGGACGCGATAGGTGCCGAGAAATCTACCAATTCTGGACACAGGTAACGAAAGCCAACACGTGAAAAATATGATTCGTCTATGACAGTTCTGAAATGTTAAGCACTTCAATTTGACATTAAAAATGTTTTATGTATACATTCCTTTCCTATCAAAACATTGGGTGTTCGTTACTCACCTAACATAGTCTCTCTTGCAGTAGGTCTTGCCGTCCCGGACGAAGCACGTGCATGTTTCGTCCAGGAACTGATGGCACTCCGCACACTTTAGGCACGCCGCGTGCCACTCCAGGTCAGGTGCCACCCTCAGTATGTACTGGTCGTGGATCTGGGCGCCACAACCAACGCACAGGCTCAGTCTTCTCTTCTCTGAAACATAGGAAAATACCATGAGAAATCAACGAAAAGAAACCCCGGTTGTTTGTGTGCAATCCAAAACATTTACCAACACAATGCATGATGTTGACGATGTTACGCCATGCTCAGGTAGTGGTCCATCCTGGTGGAATGACGTGGAGTTGTTAAGAAACTTAATGTCAACAAACAGGTTGTTGTAAAAAACCCCTCTTAACCACACAAGTATTGAGCATAGCTTCTGCAGGAACATCATTATGAGATTGCTATAACATGTATCTTTCTAGTCCAATACATTGATGCAGCTGTTACATATTAAGGATTTAGACCATGCACAGGTCACATTGCGAATTCTGGCAGTCACCGTCTTAACGTTGACCTGTTGTTTGGAAGCTTCCTTATGAAATGTTAAAGCGGTAAGAATCGTCTCTAGGTAAATAATAACTGCTGTACACAGATTATCGTAGACACTAAAGACATCTAAATGGAGGAACATTATGGCCACGGGAGCATGTATGGAATATCTAGAGGTTGATAATGATTGCATTTTCCTAGGGCAGAGTCAAATTAAGGAATGGTTTGAACAAAAACGCCGTAAACATTTGGAAGTATTTCATAAGAACATCATACACGGACGAAGGCCATAATGATCGGTGCATCTTTGGGAACATCATGTAAGAATGTATTAAAAACTAAACGTCTGTGATGATCATCAAACAATATAAACTGGCCAAAATAATCTTTTGATGATTCGTAGAAATTATTTGTTCACTTAGAAACACTGATAACAATATTATAAATTTCCAACAGATACGTCCATGAACATTTCTCATCGTAATTTTCCTTGCAAATTTAAATTAGTTCTATATTATCTACAACTATACTGCATGACTGTTGGGGCATTCAGACGAGTGCATATGGTCTGACAGTTGCTCATTCTTCACGCTGTCATTTTCTAACCCAATGAGTACTCACTACTCACACCCGACGTGGACAAAAAATCTAATGAACCGACACCAATCGGGGGTCACCGGGCATTAGCCTAATTTGGACCTCTTCACGCGGGGTAAATCCCTCCGGTGTCTTGTTGGTTATGGGCCAAAGAAATTTAACAATTTGGGAGGATATTTTAAATTTAGATGTTACTCTGTTTCGTTATTCTTACGGAAAATATGTACAGTAATAGGTAATAGTAACGCAAAATACGTAACGGTAATTTGATCTTGTTTAAATACAATATTAAAAGATACAACGAATCTAAAAATTTACTTTTGCATTATACTTATAGTGATTTTATTTTCGTATAATGTATGTATTTGTTCTTCGATTCTATAGTTTAGCTATAAAAACGTACTCCCATTTCACGTATGCAGGAATATATTTTTACGTACGCAGTATATTGTTATCAAGATTTTCGAATAACTTATGTGTGGTGTGACATCAGTTCCTGGACGATTATGCACTTGCTTCAGCACAAGTTGTAGGAAGATGTTTTCTGTGTCATGTAGTTTTACAGATTTGATCTGTATTCATTTAACTTATTTTATGTTGACCCTAATTTACAGTAATTATTAATTTATTTTGATTGATTGCTGCTGTCGATCATGTTTTATATTATATTTATGTTGAAATTATACTTATACTTTTTAGGGTCCATAATTACTGTTATCCCTTACACTAGTCCTTTAGTTTTTTTATTAATTTATAACTCATGCAAAATGTTCATGACATTTCTCATTTATTATTTTGTAGAGCTTTCAATATAATTTTGCCCTACTTACTGAATGATTTTTTTAAAATCCGTTAGAAAGTTGCTGAAGTGTGAAATATTAAACAGAATATTAACTTAGATTTATCTTTTGAAGTGGGTCTGTTTGTTATTATTCTTTGCCCAGTTTAAACTTTTGTAGTAGCTTATGACACAAAATTATTCGGCCAAATAGGTATAATTAAAAAGAACCTATAGAAAGCACGGTGCTTATGCTCCGGTATCCATAGTAATATCGGATTCCAGTTAGTAGCCCTAAAGCCTTAGTAATCCTAAGATATCTTATTTATAACAACACCAAAGTCTTGACTTTACACTTGATTAAATATTTGTTTTTTTATCCGTGGGTTAACCGTTATCGTAAGCTAAAAATTAATTAGATATTACCTCAATAACTAATGCCTCTCTGCTTTTAGCCAATAAAGGTGTTATAAATCATACATTAAGCTTTCGTCAAACACAATTGACATTTGTGGATAATGGTAAATAAATAAAACGTAAAACGAAACCAAACCTAATCATAACCTTTACAAGCACACCATTTGTCGATACTCCCACATCACACATTGTGTGCGGCTTGAAGTGCAAGCACATTACGATGCCATAGCAAACAGCCTGCACACAATAACCATGCACTCAGTGTAGTTCTGATTATTCCATCTGTCCTTTTACAGTTTACGAACGCGGAGGCAATTCCGAATGTTTATCACGTTATAGTTGGCGGATGACGTCATTTCGGTGTCTTGAGACGCTGCGGAATGCAGGGACTATTTATAATGTGTAGGAATACATTAGGGTGGGCGGGGCGGGGAGTGGACCAATGGGAGAGGAGCCCCCCTCCATCACCCCTCCGTTACCGCCCCTACTTCTCTCACGCTCTCTCTCTCTAGATCACAAGAGTGTGATATCCCGTTGTACTTGTACCCATCTTGTACCAGAGTAACTTGAGCAGTCTGTTACAAGAACTGTATTATAAGCGATGAGCTGTAACGTGCAAGAAACTGTGTCAACAGCGGAAAAAGGACGACCTAGTCCTACACTATGGGCATGACATTTTTTGCAAAAAAACATTACTGTATTTCGAATATAAAATTAAAATGGTTTAAGTTACCTTTTGCATCAAACGATCCTTGATGTAGTAAATATTAACTACAGCTGTGTGACGCAAAATGTAACTTAAACCATTTTATATTGCAATTTTCGATCCAGAGACCCCAAGGAATAACGTGAAAATATTATTACAATTTTTCCGATGCAGGGTGTGCCAAAAACTGAGGGTCACTAGTTCGAATCTCGGAATTTTCAAATGTAAACATATATCATGTTATAGATCATATTAAAGGTACTGTATTTATTAGACAAACATTTGTAGCTTTACCCTGATATGCTACAAGTAAATGTTTTTTGAAACGACAAAAATAAAAATAAACTTTTTTTGAAAATTTGCAAACTTTTCCCAATGTTCAAAATTTTCAAATAGAAACATATGTCAAAAGAAACATCATTTTATAGTTTTTTTTAATTCTGAAAACTTTGTATATTACACTTACTTCGTACCTCTTAGTTTTTGTGTAAATTACAAAAAACCTAATTTTTCTATATCAAATGCATGTTATTTGGGTTTAAGAATAAGTCAATAAGTAATTTATTAGGCCAGATCAGCATAAAAAACAACACAAATAACAAAAACAACAAAAATAACACAACAACTTTTTCCTGAAATGGGGCTATTAGTGTAAATCCCAAATAACATGCATTTGATATAGGAAAATTAGGTTTTTTGTTATTTACACAAAAACTAAAAGAGATACGAAGTAAGTGTAAATTACAAAGTTGTTCAGAATTAAAAAACCAATAAAATGATGTGCCTTTTGACATATGTTTCTATTTGAAAATTTTTAAGAATGGGCATTTACAAATTATTTTTTTTTAATTTTTGTTGTTTCAAAAAACCTTTACTTGTAGCATATCAAATTTCACAACAAGTAAGAAAATTCAACCGGAGAAGGGCTAAGTACATTGGTATAGGAAAAACACTGAGTCTTAAAAAATATTGATTTAAAAAAAACTGCCGCCATTTTGAAACGGAAAAAGATAATTAATTTATGTTTTCGCCAAAATGTTTTTCTAGTTAATACCTTTAAAATGGTGTATAGCATAATATATGTTTACTTTTGAAAATTCCGAGATTTGAACTAGTGACCCTCAGTTTTAGCACACCCTGTGTCGGAAAAAAGTTAAAAAAATCTTACACTATTCCTTGTGATCGATTTAGTGGAAAATAATTTTATTTAATCCTCATAGGTTAAGCCGTTTTCTGTAATCAATTGGAGACACCTCTCGTGGGACACCCTGTATAGGCTAAATGAGATCTATTTTGTACTTTGCCAGATTTATTTTTAAGCAATGTATGGAATCATTGTCATTCTGTGGAATGCCTGTTTATATACGTTACCTATAACGAAAAGGCGCAAAAAGGGAGTTTTCTTAATTTTGTAATTATTTCTATTAAGTTACTATTTTATTAGTACCAAATAATCTTTTTATACCTATACAGCCCTAGTGAGGCCCCAAACTTGTAATTTCTAGCTATTGTGGTCGTATAAGCCTAGATCGGTCTGCGCACATATATTTCCCGCGATATTGTGGTATATTAATGGAAGCGCGGGAATCGGCGCACCGCAAACGGAATATGTACAGGAACTAGCCTCAAACACCACCGGTTAACTGCTACACTGGAACAACACTACAGTTAAACCATTGACTTTAGACACACAAATATCCTATCCATCCATTTGTAGCCTGTTGTTAACTTAGTTGATATGTTTTTCAAAGCATTGCCCTAGACCCTGGATTCAACTATATATGCCATTCTCATGTTAAAGTTGTAACTAGTCTTCGAATGGAAATGTACCTGGATTGATCGGGATTAATCTACAGAAGTACGCTGGGATATTATATATCCAGCGAGCGCGTTTAGGACTAGGTATTGACGCAGATGACCATATCTAAATTGTTTGAAGGAAGGTTTTGTCCGGACAGATGCCGTTTATTGCCTTGTGAGGCGTTCACCGCCAAACTTTGATCAGTATGCGCTGGCACGTTTTAAAATTCTTCATCTTCATTTGCCTCCTCGGAATCAAAACTACAAGGACTGGAATAGCAAATAGTAATTGTTTTAACGTGAAAATTCCCAAATATAAAACGCGAACCGATCTTACCTTTAAAAAATCAAAATGCATATTCA